GTAGTGATACTTCTTTCATCGACAATTTCATAGAGCCTAGCAGATATTTTTAACCCAGTATTTATTCAGTGATTTCCCTCTAGCCTATGTTTTCCAAATGGTCATTAGTTATCAAAAATTATGCAGTCTGTATTTTGAGCCCGCTTTTAGCTGAGCAGAGCGATTCCAAATAAACACTGCAAATGCTACTCACGCATGTTAATATTGAATGTGGCTGTGGTCACATGCATTTCCGACACACCATTTTGATGTATAGTTATTGTACCATGTATTTAAAAATGGATCTTCTCCAACCAATCATTCACATAAGCTCAAAATAAATATTGGCCTTTGTATCAGGTTTCCATTATGTGACTACTAAACCAGGCTTGGTGGAAGGTTCACAGAGGGTTGACAGAGCTTTGTCAGCTCTGCTTTATTAGGACTTTTCCATGCGGGAGCATTCCTGGGTGTGGCTGATGGGATTTCCTGCTTTTCTGTCCAGTGAAGGTAGCACAGAGAGTCCAAGTGCAAGGAAATGGTTCCCACTTCGTTCCCATTTAACATTTTTTGGTAGGGTAAGAGATTTGTCCATGCAGAGCTTTGCTTGGGGGGGTTTGTTTGGAAACTGCTGCTTTGACAGAACATCTCTCACAATTTGTGGATGAGCAGGGGAGACACCAGTGTCGTCACACTGTTCCTGCAGGAGAGAAGGTCCTTAATATTGTAAGTCTCTTCAGTGGATCACATAACTCTACACTAATTAGGTTCCCAACTTCCTTAAATAACTTTTTTTAAAAAAATATATCTTAATTTGTATTAGAAGCTCAAGTTTCAGATCTCTGTAGACACTTCCTATTTAAGCAGAAAACTTGTCCTGGAACAAGTTAGCTGTTCCATATCTAGCTCCAGTGTGCAGAGTGAATTTGATTACTGTTAATTATTGTAGAAATTTCTGTCCATAGGGTAATAACTAAGGGGAGACTCCTTGACCCAATGTAGTTCTTGCAGACTATGTAAAAAGAAATAAGGTTCTATCAGAATAAATTATACAACAGATAATGAGCAAACTCTGTAAATGCATCTGTAAATGCAAAAATGGGATTAGAAAAGTTTGTACAAGCAGATTGTAGGAACTGAATTTAGATGGATTTTGTTTGTTTGTTTCTTAAATCCTTGAAATTTCAGTTGTAGTTGGGTTCATTTAGTTTTCCAAGAAAAAAAGTACAGGGAATTATTGAAATACAATAGATGTTTTCCCGGGGAATTTCAGAGCCCCATAAATGACAAAGCCTGTCCTTAGGGAATTTCCAGCATTTCAGAGCTGAGTAGGGTACGTGGCTGTGGTTTACATATCCACATTTTTGGATGCTTTGTCAATCTGACCCTTTTTACAACATCTGATAATGCCTTAGCCCATACAAAACACAATCAGTATTGAGATTCTCCAGGCCAAATTAGGAATTAGGAAATGTAACAGCTGGGCAATCTCTATATTTCTTAGTTGACAGAGTAAGGAAAGGATGGGTAACACAATTTTTCTTTTTGGTTTTTTTTTGTCCCCTAGTTTTGTCCTGGCTGCCTGCATTGTACAGCAAGCCCAAGGTTCATTTCTCCCGAACTGCCTGCGGGGCATGCTGGCTGCAGCCTCTCCATTGCCCAGTGTACACCCCAGGTTCACACAGGCGGACCTAGTTAGGGAGTTGGCAGAGGAGCAACAGGCAGATTTTATCATCGTTTTCCATCCCTGTTCTATTCCTTACACTGGAAGAACAGCTGGGAAAAAGAATATAAATCAAAGAGCCAGGTTACTCCAAAGAATTCAGGCTATTTTATTTCACGTCAGCATTTTGTATAATGCACCTTTTCAGTTCTCAGTTCATTTTCTCTGCCTGTTTGTCACATGGCCAAGGACAGGACAAAGCTGCAGGCCCTTGCAGTGCGTACAGAAGGCAGTCAGTCCGGGGCCTGGGAAGGGTGGTGTCTACATTGCACACTTCAAAACTGGGCACTACACATCTGGCCTAACCTGCTGGTGTGTGGTAATGGCTGGCTGTGGCCAAGGAGCTGCAGAGTTCCTCCGCAGGAAGCAAAGTGCTTCAAAGGGCCTGTCTTTTTTTTTCTTTTTTTTCCATTTTTTTCTTTCCCCCAGCAGGAACCCTTACTTTTATCGTTATTTTATTACAGTTATTGTTCCCTGTTTGAATCTTGTCTACATACATAGATGTGGCCTGTCTACGGAGGAAACAGATTTCAGTCGTGTTCATCAAGAGCATAGGAAATGCTTCCCATGGCCCAGTGCCACACTCTGGTGTTTGCATGTCTTTTATTGCGCAAATTACGTAGGGCTTCGAGTTCCCTGCCCCGAAACTGTGCTCCCATCACACAGTCACCTCCACAGGGGGAAACGGTCATTTTCCGCAAAGGCCCACGGTGCAATTAGAAGAGTCGGATAAGCGAGGGGTACAGAGACACAGGCAAAGAGAAGGGAAGTGACTCACCTGTGGGCTCTCACCTAGGAATACGTAAAAGCCGGGGGTAGTCACGAGGGGCCAGTGACACAGCCATGCTGTGACATAGCTCATCCCTTGTCACAGGATCTCAGACCCATGTGGGACGAACAATCTTAATGCCCGTAAGGCTTCAGGAGCGGAAGGGCCCTCATCCTTCCGTTAAAAACACCCTTACAAATTCAGACAACCCCATACATTGCCTTTATGCCTCCCTGGTAGTACTTTGGGGGCTTAACTTGGACTTTCATGGTTTATATACTTCTGGTGCTCTGCACAGAAGTGACTTTATCCCTGGGACAAAGCAGCGCTTTGCCTCATGACTGTCAGCACCCGGCGTGAACCATCCCTGCCCAAACGAAGGCCTGAGCCAAGAGAAACTTCATCTCGTGTGCAAATACAGATTTGACATTTTTTCCAGCCCTGCTCGGGTCACTAATTAAAAGCCGAGGAAGTGAGCGCACATGAAATCATTCCTTCCGTACAGGCAGACAGATGGAGAGAAATTCCAGCCTGTTTCCACTCTTTTGTCTTTGGGGCATTTTTGGAATTTCCTTCAGGAAGTGAGGTTATGACCCAGAGCCTTCCTCAGTGAGTAGGCTCTCGTTTCCCACAGTAAACCGTGCACGGTGATGACATACAGTACGAGAAGGTGAGGTTTATCTTCACACTCCAACTGCATCCTGTACGAGCTCCATGGAACTTAAAAGTACTACCAAGAGGGAATGGCCGCAAGAGAGGAAATGGAAGTCAAGCCTTTGGAAGAAGTAACGCAGCACCTATTCAGCTACGCTGCCACCGTCTTTGCTGGTCCACCCAACGGAGCTGCAGTAGTTACGTAGTCGAGGCCACCAGTCTACGTTTCATAACCTTCCTTGATGCTTGCAATAAGCTAAGCATTAAACTTACAAATTATATTAGTGATTTAAGTGAATTATTTCACTTACACTGTGCTAGGCAGTCATGGTAAAACTGGCAGGCATGCATCTGTTGTTTGCACTTCATTAGGGGTTGGAGAAGAATCACCACTGTAGAGATTCTTTTAATGGCATTTCATTGATATAGCATGTGCTGATGAAAAATTACATTCTAGCATTCATTTTGTATTTTACATAATCCTGTAAGTAGCATTAATATGTCTTATATCCCTGTAGAATTAGCTTAATCCCAGCATTTACTGAAATCAAGGAATTCTTTCACTGACTTCTTGTCAACAAGAAACCACCACAATAGTACAAAATGACTAGTAATCTGATAACAGAATCTTTAAAAAAATCAGTTTATTAATGTTTAGAAGTCAATAAAGCTATGTGCAAATTGAACAATAAAAGTCAGAAACATTTTAAATACTATTTTTTAAACCAGAAAAAAACCCCAAACCCAACCATTTTAATTGCACTGGAAATTTTACTACAAAGGCAATAACTTTTTTTTTTTTTTTTTTTTTTACAAAATACCACTTCTAGGAATTGCCAATAACTGTAAATCAGTCGATTTCTCTCAGCTATCCCAGATATACCACTTCTGTTATAGTAATATTCTAGGCGCATGAAAACTCCTGCATCTTATTAACTTATTTACATTGTACACAGTCAACCCCATTAGCACAGGTTAGAAAAACAGAGGAATAAAAATGATGCTGTAAAACAAATACATTCAATTTAATGACAGGTACTTCTTCCATGAACTGATAAAATACAGACATCTTTGCTGAAATTATAAACATTAATAAAATGTGCCAAAATGTATTGCATTTTGTTATGGAAGTGCATTTATCTATAGTCATTTCACTTCAGCTTTCCTTTTATTTTTCTGAAACTCAAGGTACTTTTTTCAGGTTTTCTGACCAATCTTTACCTTTGGAAAGACTATGAACCTGACACTGAAATGCCCCTTCAGTTTTTAACTCTTCTTACTTGGGCAAATACCCTGCTGTTGTCAATAGTATCTTACATTATTTGATTTACTTTCAGTCATCTTAAAGAGAAATGACCTTTAGTTCTACCTTGCATTTTTCATGATATTGCAGTTTGTTTAATGCTATAGAATAACAAGGCAGTGAACCTATGGGGCCAATGCTGCTCTGAGCTACTCCATAAAATCTGATGCAGTTAATGGAACTGTACAGGTGAAAGTAACTGCAGAGTCTGGCTCATGCTCTTCAAATGCAACATGGACTGGCAGCAAAAATTCACAGCTATGGTCTTGCTAAGTAACACCCCAACAGCTTTGGACTCCGCAGATAAAACCGTATGACTTAACTAAAAACTCTGGAAAGGGATGCCAAATCATGGTTGAATGTGGTCTAAGTTATATTTGTGTGATCTCTTTCCTTGTTATGTGCTAAGCAAACACTTCTGACCAACTACACCAGAGCCACCACTAAACTCAGTACAGAAAGATCTTTGTGTCAGTGGTTTGCTGCAAGGAGAAATAACTTCACATTCTTCTCACAGGGAAAAAAAAAAAGTCATTCTCCCTCTCCTTCCTCCCCCTCTCTCTTTCTCTCACACACACCAGGCATCATTTCATCAAGGCATCAGTCTTTCAGAGTTACTAAGGAGATTTCAGGATATGAATGCGCCTGACAACCCTGAGCTGCCTCAGTGCAAAGACAAAACATGCTCCAGGGAAAAAGATTTTCAAGCCAGAACAGTCTGTCCCATTTCTTGAACTCCAGCCTCGCAAGTGCACCGTTTGCCTCATTAGAACTAATGCTACTTGCTCACTTAGCCCAACGCTGCTGCCGTGAGCAGGAGGCGTCTCAGCTCCCCAGTTTCAGAGGAAGGCTCTGAAATACACCCCCATGGTTACTCCTAAGAAGATGAGGTAACATTGCCCGAAGACATGATGGTCTCAGGACGGTCGCCTTCCTCCTTCTGTGGGTGGGACGAGTTGTCAGACTTACTGCGGCTGAACTCCATCCCTCCGATGATGGGCCTTTTGAATTTGGTCCCAGAATCTGCCGAGGGACATTTGCAGCAGCACAGAATCTTGGTGAAAGCCCTCCGCATCTCTTTGTTCGTTAGGGTGTAGATGATAGGGTTCGTGGCTGAATTGAGCACAGCCAGTACTAAGAAATACTCTGCTTTGTAGAGGATTGGGCAGGTCTTCACTTTACACCCCACATCCAGTAAAAGCAGGATGAACAAGGGAGCCCAGCAGGCGATGAAGGCACTCAGGACTATGATCACTGTCTTGAGCAAGGCTAGTGACTTTTCTGAGCTCCTAGTAGCTTTGGTAATGTTTTTCCGAAATGTCAGCCTGCGGCTCCTAGTCCTCACCATGGAGTAGATCCTGCAATAGAGGACGACGATAGATAGCAAAAGGCCAGTGAAAACAGTGGTGCAAAAGAGAATATAGTGCTTGTGGTAGAGAGGCAGCACCGTGGAGCAGTTGGGCAACAGGCTGATGCAGTTCCAGCCCATGATCGGGAGCCCCCCGAGTATCACGGAGATAACCCAGCAAGCACTGATCAGCAAGAAGGAGCGGAAGCTGTTGCTGCCATTGTGGAGTTTCATCTTCAACATGGTGATGTATCTCTCAATGGCAATGGCCAACAAGCTGAACACAGAAGCTGACAAGGCAACAAACATGCTGCCTTCTCTTACAAACCACTGGGAGGGGGTGAGGCTATAGGTTTTGTGTCCGGATAGCAGGAGGTTGGCAGTGTAAGCCACGCCAGCCAGCAAGTCTGAGAGAGCCAAGTTCCCAATGAAATAGTACATGGGTCTGTGAAACTTCTTGGTTTTCCAGATGGTGAGCAAGACAAAAATGTTCTCTAAAATTATAAAGCAGCAAATGATGATAAAAACCACCGATGTAACTTTTATTCCACTGTCCGCATTCTCATTCAGCTTTCCTGTGTAATTATAATGCTCTTTGATGACATAGTTGACATCAGTGTTGGCGAGGTTGCTGACGACCTTCAGCGGGGCAGTGGTGCCAGAGCTCATGGTGCCCAGCTGGGCGCCGCTTCCCCAGCGGCCACCGGACGGTGACGCCGAGCGCAAACCCGCTGGCTGCCCCGCAGCTCCTTGGTCCCGCAGCCTGCCCGGCACTGCTGCACCACCTCAGAAACCACAGCCCTGAGAACAAGAGGCACAAAACACAGAGTTAAAAGAAGGAAAGCAAACAGTGTAACAGATGATAAACGGTTTAAGATAATCTGCGAGTTCAACTGTACATCAGAGTCACAAATGCGATCACACGGGAGCCAGTTTCATTCAGCTGTTAAAATACGTTTAAAAGATGGTTAGGTGTATTCAAAAGGTAAAGCTAGTACGAGAAAAGTTCTGTCATGCAGAGCTGAACAGGTAACTTGGAGTCAGCCAGGACTGCATTACTGGCTTCTTCCAGTGTGAAAGATCTCAAAGCTCCCCAGCAGTAAGTTCTAGGGTATTTTTCTTCAGTAGGAAACATACCTTGTAATACAACAGCAGAGATTTAGAAAGGGAAAGGGCTTGATTTGATTTAACTGCAAATGCACGAAAGTCTGCACAGAAATTACTTGACGGGAGACCTGTAATCTCCTCCTTTAATAAAGCCCAAGTACCTTTTGGAAGGGGGCAGTTATGCAATTTAGGGATGCTGGCTGGAACAGCAGTGAATTCACTGATGTAAATATAAGCGAGAGATCCACCTCAGAGCTGTAAACAGGAAAGGGGTGCCCTTGCTAAATAAAGGTAAGAACATGCTTTACAAAACCCAGAGCACCAAAAAGTTTAGAAAATCAAGAAAAATATGTAAATAAGCTGGAGAGGAAGCCCATTCTGTGGGTCTGAAACAAAGAATGGCAAAAAAAAAAAGCCAAACCCCTTGCATTTGAATAATTAGTATTGCAAGCTTTTGAAATGGGCATGATTAAGGAGTACAGGTGTAGGGGAAACTCCCTTTGCATATAAACGTTTTCTAGCGAACATTTAAAGAGAATTAAAAACGTGAAACCACGCAAGGACAGAAGAACAGGCAGAGTTGCAGGGCAAGCAACTTAGTTACAGGCTAAGCAGGGCAAAGCAGGAGGTGCGAGGCCAGCGGGCACAGCTCCCCGCACCGCTCCCGGGCTCCAGCCCGCACCGCTCCTGCCC